CATTTCAGAGCAACAGGATATTCTGATACACAAATCCCCTGACCTACCCTCCAACAACGGATCCAGGGGAGCCATCACCCAGAGACTCAGTTTACCAGTTCAGGGTTGTGCCAACAGTACCACAAGATCAGCAGGTGAGGATTGTATGGCTCATTTGAGTTTCATCCATCTGCTGGTGTGAGACATGGCGTTTGCGTAGCAAAACAAGAAGATTAGCACAGACAACCCTTGAGCCTTGATGGACCTCCTCAAGGCCAAGGATGCACAAAACAGTCAGATCTGCTGGATCAGCACTCAGCACTCACATCCCAGCATCCAGGAGGAAACGAGTGATTTCTTTAGCTGAGAGCTTGGGGCAGGCATTTTGGTTCTTCCCTTGGTCTTCCTCCTTCCTGGAGGACTGAAGGATTAAAAAGTCCTCTAACATCAAGTCCACCCATTAACCCAACACTGTCAAGTCTACCAAATAAATCATGTTCCCAAAATGCCACATATACACATTTTTTCCAGGTGACTCCACCACTTTCCTGGACTATCTGTTCCAATGCTTGAGCACCCCTTCAGTGAAGAAATTTTTCCTTAAATCTAATCTGAACCTCCCCTGGTGCAACTCAAGGCCATTTTCTCTCATCTTGTTACCTAGGAGAAGAGACAGACGCCCACCTGGCCACAGCCTCCTTTCAGGTGGTTGTAGAGTATTAACGTGCCCCCTCAGTCTCCTTTTCTTGAGGCTGAACATTTCCAGCTCCCTCAGCTGCTCCTCATCAGACTTGTGCTCCATCTCCTCTGTGTTTGAGCAGACACCCTTATTGCCCAGAACAGCCAGCAAAAAGAAATGGGCACAACTCAGCTCATGCAAGGGCCAGTATCTAAATAGGCCAGATGAATGGCCTCACACACATCCAGAGTGCCAGGGCATGAGCCCAGCCCAAAACGAGAGCGCATTCATCGCTTAAACCCAGCAAGCCCTGCCAGTTCACCTTCAAGGAACTCCTGCTTCTGGCACAGAGAGGACAAGGCCACAGCTGCCAGGGGGTTGTCATCCTGTTGCCATACAAAGGGACAGCCACACAAATTCTGTGTGTGAGGTGACATGAAGCAGTCACAGGGACCACAGGTGGGCCCCTGGGTAGGACCACAAGTAAGGCACCAACAGACTGATCGAGGGCAGTGCTACTTAACCCTACAGTGCCTCATTCTCCCAGAAGGGCCAAAACTTCACTCCCCCGTCTCCCCAGACAGCATTCACCATGAATTGCAAAGGAATATAGAACAAGTCCAGCCTGGTAACAGGTTTGCCAACTGGCAGCAGGGAAGGAAGGAAGAGGTCAGAGCAGCAAAGCACTAAGATGAAGGCTGGAAAATCAGAGGGATGGAGAAGATAAAAGGGTTGGTGTAATTCACCTGAATTTCTTGCAAGGATTGTGTTGTGCTCAATGAAAAACTTCTTAAAAGCTTTGCAGGGAAAGAGAGCACTTAGGACACAGGCACCATGACCCCACAGAACCTTTCTGACGGCTTTGAGGCATGAATCAATTAAAGCAATCACAGAGCAAAGGTTAATCAGTAGCAAGTACATCTTAAGAAATAAGTAGTCCTTTAAAAAGCAACTGCTTTTGCCAATTCCCCCCTCCCTGTTTTCTAAAGTGTCTTTTATTTCTCCAACTCTGGAGACCTTCCAAAGTGAGGTCAGTGATTAAGAGCAGCAGCCGAAAGGACCAGACTAAGTTGGTGGTGGCTGCCAGGGCTCCAGAGCAGAGGGGACTGGACCCCTAATTGTCACAGAGGCTCAGTGCTGTAGAAGTGTCTTGGGGTTGAAAACCTTCCAGCCTAACTGGAGCAGATGGAAGTTGGAGAAACAAGGAATTGCTCACAGTTGCATTGGAGAACAGAAGAAAAGAAGCAGAAGAGCGAGGCAGGGACTGACTCTAAAGCATTTCTGCACAAGCAGTGAGACTCCAGCAGGCCTACAGCAATGCTTCAAGCTGCTCCTGGCCTGTGCCCTGCTTGCAGATATGTGCTTCTTTCTTCTTGCACCCAAAACTGGAGCTGACGTCAAAACAGCCCCCCCAGGCAGCAGCCACAGCCTCATTCACACATGTACTCATTCCCCAGCCCTGCCCTCTTTCCCTGCCTGCTGCTATTCTCGTGCTCCCTGCTGCTTTTATAGCACACCACCACCACAGCTAACCTCTTACCCTGCCACCTTTCCTTGCAAGTGTTGATGAAGTAAAAGAGCTGGCACGCTGTGGCGGCCCCAGGAGAGCTTCCTCTGGCAGCAGACCTGCAGGGGATGAGTCCCAGGATGGGGTTTTTCATCTCTCTCTTGCTTGTGCACTCACATGGGCTACAACTGCTCAGTCACCAGGAAGGACCTGGGCCATGAGCATGGGGAGTCCACCTTGATATTAGGTTTGCACCGTGCCTAACACAACATCTTCCCTGGAGACACCATGAAGACTGGCAAGGCAAACAATGACAGGAGAAAAGGATCAACATAAGACCATAACACAGGCATGTTCATAAAATCAATGTATCACAGAATGGCTTGGGTTGAAAAGGACTTCCAAGGTCAGCTGGTTCCAACCCTCTGCAATGGGCAGGGACATCTTACTGTTCAAGCCTCTGAAATATCACTGTTTCCACTTCCCTCCTCTTTTCCTGGAGAGAGAAAAAATGCAGCAAATGCCAATGTCCTGCTGGTGGGGAGAATAACAAGGAACATGACCAAAGATACTCTCTGTTTACCAGGATTTCACAAAATGCCAAGCCCTCAGCCACCAAAAAGCAGCCAGCTGTGAGTCCTGACTGAATGCTGCTGGGAGAGCAGTGTCCAGCACATGAAGAACAGGATGAGAACAAGATGTTGAAGAGAGGAGCACCTGCAGGCTGGCTGCTCAGTTCCTTCACACCATGTGTCTGTAGCTGGAGCAGAGGGTGCAGCATGGAGCCAAGCCTGTGCACCCTCAGGACTCATCCTGCCATGAAGGCACAGCCCAGGGTACATCACAGGTCAGGTCTCCAAGTTGCTCTACTCACACCAGCTCTTTCCTTTCAGTAAGAGCTGTAACACAAAGGATGTTCTCCCAGCTATTTATGCTGTCTGCTCACCTAAAACATAACCCAAGACCCCTGTTTGCTGCACACCACAGAGGTCTCTGGGGCAGTTCTACAAATCAACACATAGTAGGTCACTCCAGGATGAAAACTTCCTATAAGCTATCCTGAGACATGGAGTCAGGTTTGGACCAAAGCCAGGCTGCTGCTGCACATGTGCATGGTGTTGCAGGAAATGACCACTGCAGAGCTCCCTGCAGCCTGTCCCCATCAAAAGCCACCAAACTGGGGCTTTGCCAACGGGCAGGATCTGCTCCACACTGGAGCACGTGGGTCTCAGCTGGTAAGTGGTAGCTTCTTAAAGTGTCCGCACACAAGTTAGCCTGAAGGAGGGCCTCTGGGTTTGCAAAGAAAAGGTCATATTGTCAAAGGACCACAAACTTCTAGAAAAAAAACCAACAACTTTCTCTTTTATTTTAGCTGGTACTTTATCACACTAAGCAGAGCTGTACAGTAACAACTTTCACAGAGGTATATTGTGAACTGCAGGCATTCTCACTAAAAAGCTGACACAACTAAATTTAAAGAACTGTGTTTCCAACAACAGAAATTATACATAAAGACACTGTTTGCTCACCTCCTTGGTCCAATGTCATGGTGTAAAGAAGTCCCAGGACTGGCCGTGAGAACAAGCTTTGTGTTTGTATTCTCTGCAAGGATTTCAAATTGCCCTGAAAATCTTGCACAACTTTTAGACATTTCAATAGTAAAGTTATAAAGGAAGTGACAGCTTTGTCTCCTTTCACATTCAGAACAATTCTTAATTAAAATCCAGCTGGTCTCATGGTATATTATGCCTTTTCTTCTTGTTAAATGCAGCCTAAAATCTTTAAGGAAGAATCTGTAGGAAATTATTTCTGTTCTCTCTTATCCTTCCACCTGGTATCATCTCTCAGAACTTATCAGGAGAGATGCTGCATTGTGAGGTCAGGATTCCTAGAGAAAGTGTAGAAGTGAAGTGTACACCATGGGGTGGACCTCTAGCTAATCAAAGTTTGCACTTTGCAACTTAAAGTTGTTCCAGTTCCAGTCCCCAGGTTCACATCTGCTGAGCGCCTGATACGGAATTAAAATTCACTCTTTCTTAGAAATGAAAATTCCTCTCTTTCATTGCTAATGGACATTTGGACAACAACAACAGCAGCCTAAAGCCAGGGTCAAATCCTGTTTCAGCTACAAACTGAGCTGCTCTCCAAACACTTGCCCATCAGAGCTCCCAGGGTGACTGCAGCATCAGGGCAGATGGTGGATTGTGGTGTTGCTTCCAGCCTTTCCAACCAAATCGTGATTATTTACAGCTGTTCCCAGATGTTACCCTTTCACGGGTTATTTGTTCCCGAGTCAAGCTCCCCGTTCACACGCTAGGCAAGCTCCGGGGAAGAAAGAGAGAGGCTCCTTTCTCCCTTTTACTATGGAAACAGCCCTTTATCCCAAGGATTGCCAACGCTCCGCCGCCGTTTCTCTCCCACCGCTGCCCCAGCCCCGGCGACCCCCGGAGCCGCCCGCCGCTCGCGTCTCATCCCGGCTCAACAGGTCACAGCCAACTCATCCAGCACGGCCCCCGGCTGAAGCGGGACTGCTGAGCACCTTCTCCTCCCCAGCAACCTACCAGAGATCCCCCCTTGCCTCCCCTTTTGTTATCCTTTCTCCCTGTTCTCCGGCTCCCTGCGCTTCGTTTCTCTCTTCAGCCCAGGCGGGAGCCGGGTCAGTCCCCGCTGTCGCATCCCGACCAACACGCTCAAACACCCACGGGTAACAAAGGAAAAGTGAAAAAAATCTGGCCAGCTCGGTGCTAACTTCCAAGGCAAGCAGGGAGAGGAGGCAGGGGTGAAGTCCAGCAGGCAGGAGCATCTCCGAGAGTTCGGAGGGAGGAGGTAACTCACCGCGCCGTCACGCACATGGAGGGATGATTTTTGCTTTCCGCTGCTGCGTCCCCGGCTTGTGACACTCCGGGATGCGAATGGTGGCACCGCCGGGTGACACCCGGTATTAGACAGGCTGCTGGAGCCGTCCCTCCCACGGGAGGAGGGGCCAGGGGAGGCTTAATAAATTCAGTCCCCAAAACTAGAGAAATTAAAATCTCACCATGGGGCGCAGACGGCTGCTCACGGCATGGCTCTGGGAGACACCCGCGACTTGGGGACAAACCTGGGATGGATTAATTTATCCCTTGCCCACCCAGAATAAGAGAGGTTGATGTTCACATCCCACCTTGGTGGAATTAAGTGTCAAAAGGATGGGGTTTGAGGAAATATCCCAAAGGAGATCTGAGGAAGATGTGTCATCGCTGACTCTCAGAATTAAAACTCCCAAACTTCCTCCATGAAAATATTTTCCACAATTGTAAGCCCCAGGCAGGAATTCAGTACACCAGATTTCTGAGCAACCCCGGATGCAAAACTGCTTATTTTACTTGGGGTTTTGCATGGTTTTGGGCTTTAATATCTAAATCCTATTAGAGTTATAACTTCCTTTGAAGGGGAGAGGGGACAGGTCTGTACAACAAAAGCAGGTTGGATTTTGTAACCTCCAATGCACCCTGGGCTTTCAGAGAGGCAAAATCCCATAATAAAGTTTCTCAGGATAAGAAGCTACACAACCTCATGCAACTCCTCCTGCTCCATCAAAGCTCTTGACTGCAATGGAAGCTAAACAAACATCCCCTCCAGCCCTGGAGGGCTCTCTAAAACATCACTGGTACAGTTTTTCCATCCCTGTGGTTTCCCACATTGGGGTTTTTCTTGTTAGATGTAAAGACAGATGAGGGAGTCCCTCAAAAGCAAAATCAGCAAACTACCCTTGGAAACAGAGAGAGCAAGAATGGGCAGAAAGGATGGTCCAGCACTTTTTGTGCAGTTCACTTTACAAAGATAAACTTTTCATTAGAAGCTGAGCTATAGAGATGACAGCCTGGTTCCCTCCGAAACTTAACGATGAGCAGAAGGCATAGAAGAGTTCCACTTTAAAACAGCCTTGCTAATCTTTCCTTAGCACTTGGTCCTAAAATAACATCACTCTTCCTGTGAAACTGGGAGAATTGGAATTAAATAAATGCAAGAACCACAAGACATGAAGGTAGAAGCAGGTGGTTCTGTTGCTGGTGGCTCTCCAGCTAGCACTTAGCTGTCTGGAGTAAAAATGCATGGGACTGTGTGTGAGCCTCCAGAAAAATTAGTTGCTTTATGAACAAATTCCTGGAAATCTGATAAATAGGGCAGGAAAGGGTGAGATTAGGAAGACTGGTAGCACTAATGAGATTTAGGAAGCAGCAGCTTTTCCAGGTACCCTGCAGTTTTAATCTCCTGAGTTGATCCACTGGATTTTTCTCCTTACGTATTTGGGCTGTGTTGAGCCCAGCTTTGTCACGAGGCCACACTGAAGTCCTGAAGGTCCAAGACAAGGGGAAGCATGGCACGGGGGTGGCCCGGAAGACTTAAGGAGTAGTGGAAAGCACAGACAGCCAGAGCATTTTGCTCTGCCTTTGTAGACAGTAGCAGGGTCAGCAACTCCCCAAAAATAAGTTCTGAAGGGCCTTCACCATCTCACCATCATCCCTATTCAGGCTGCCATTCTTCCATTTTCACAGTGTGGATGAGCCCCAAGAGTTACATGAAGGTAAAGGGACAGGGTTGAGCAACATTAGCAACATTATCACTGAGTCTCCTTCAGTGAAGGTAAGAGGCAAGAGGCTGAAAATGAAAAGACTTATTAGAAGCACTACCACAGTCTTACTTCCTAAAAAAAAAAAAAAAAAAAAAAAAAAAAAAAAAAAAAAAAAAAAAAAAAAAAAAAAAAAAAAAAAAAAACCAACCAAAAAAAAAAAATTAAAAAAACCCAAACCTCCATATATCTCTATTCTCTGCCCTAAAATATTTCTATGGTTTTGCTTTCTTCCAGGTATAGAGAGGCAAAGAATTCAGCATCAGTTTGCTCTCCAAACACCTGGCAAAGGACTGATCAGCTGGGCAGATACTGCTCTGGCTTCAGTATCTTCAGCTCAGAGTTCACCAGCTTATCTCAAGCACAAAATCCTCACCCAGTGTTCCATTCATTGTCCTAGACCTGCCAGAAACTGAGAATAAAGGCAAGCAAGGATCTGCCGGAGCCCTGCCACCAGCAAGGCCAGCCTTGGAGATTATGAGTTCATAAAGGAAATATCTGCAAGGGACTGGTGCTGTACAAATCCTCTCCAAGGGGAGAGCAGGGCAGGTCAGCATGGAACCCAGTGAGTTTTGCCTCTGTGTCAAGAGAAGATCAACCCAGGGCAAAAATGGCACAAACAGAAGTGGAGATGGTGTCCCTGCCCAGCTGCCAGCCACATCATGAAGGTTTTTGCTGGGTAATGAACAAATGTTCACACCCTCCCACCCTAAGTCCTCCTCACCCTGGTTCATTTGTCCTCTCACAACACACTGCCTTGGCAGCATGAGGGGCCAGTGTGTGTCCCCATCATGCCCCCCATCCCACACAGCACATTTGCCCAAGGAACAGCTCAAATTTCAGAGCAGGGACTCATGCAGGTAACGATGTCCCCACAAGATCTATGACAGAAATTGCACAGTTTATGGCAGTTCCAGGAATGATAAGGGAGGTGGGGGGAGAAGGAAGTGGCCTGACTGATCCAAGCTTCAGACCCATAGCCAGGGGATAGCAGCATCTGCTTTTTTCAACAAGTAGTATCCCACCAAAAAGCAGAAATATCAGACCCTCGAGGCACACAGGATGGACTGAGAGGAAAGAAAGGGACCCTGGCCAGCTCCAAGCCCCATCACAGGAGAGCAGAGGCTCCTCCAGCCCTTCAGTACACAACATGTCCAAGAATAAAGATGTCCAGTCAACTTTACATTAAGCCCCAGAGGATGAGGCTGCAGGGGAAGGGGTAGGCTGCGAGGTCCTCTTGCCTTCTCCCAGCCTGAACCCTTTGACACACACACCGACACAAAAGAAACAAGGAGAGCATCAGCTCCCCCCAAAGTGTTGGTGTGGGGAGATTCAGGGTAAAGTAGAGGCACAGTGAAAATGGGGAGCAGCAGGATGCTGGCAAGCCTCCGTTGAAACCTGGACCTGCTCCTGCATCCTGGGACCTGTCCTTCACTAACACAGGCTGCTTGGGTTGATCAGAGTTGTTTCCAAATGCACTTGCTCCCAAGAAATGCTGCTGTTCCTTCCCAAGGACGGCAGTGGCTTTGGATAATGGTGAAAAGTCCAACCAGCTGAGCCCAAGACGTAGCAGTTTCTTCTGGAATATGCAACCCACCAAATACAAAACATACACCAAGAGCAAAAATATAAACGCAAGAAAGCACCTCATGCATGCCAAATTTCCAGGCAAGTCCTTCCAAGTTCTGGGGCTCAACAAGAGGCTCTGAGCACCGTTTCTGGGAAAGCCACATCCCTCAGGTGGGCAGGAAGGGAACCAGGCAGATATACTAAGAGCCTGACTGTAAGGAACAAGCATAAATACAGGCTGTGTTGAGTGGATGGAGAGAGCTTTTATATTGTCATCAAAGCAGCTGGTGGGGACAAACTCTGCCTCTCACAGCTGTTGCTGCAGCAGCTCTGCTGCCCGCTCTCCCACAGCAGGGCTGGCTGCTGCTGGAGCTGGTGCAGCCTTGTCTAAAGGGAGAAAGGGACAGTCCTCACTCTTCCATAGTTTGTGGCTGTCCTTTAAGAAATAGCATCATTTTGTCCAGAAATCAGGGGATTGCAGCACACCCAGGAGGACACAGCTTGATGTACCCTGAGAAGCCAAGGGACTTCCAGAGGGGAAAATCACGCAAAGACCAGTGAGGAAGAGAAGGGTGTCATAAAACATCCCTTGGCCAAATTTTTCTGTGTCCAAGAAATGTAATGTGGTAAATGGTGAGAGAGGATTGTGACAGACCTCAGGAGTGAAGCACTTCAGAGTTTTGTTTCTTAAGCACATGGGCAGCTATTCTGTGCTGCCTCTTCCTCCTCTTTGTTCGGTGAGCCTGGAGCTCTGCGTTAGCCCCTGCCCTGATGGAGCCTCTCTCAAGAGCAATGGGGACACTCTGCTTCTCCTCAGTAGGGATGTTGCAGCAAGATCCCCCACTATCCCAGGGTAATAAACCACCCTCTGGAAAACTGAGCAAAGAGTTTTGTGGGGACTCAGAGTTGCTGTCCCATTTTGGGCTAGCAAAGATGGTTCCTACCACTCAGGCTCTTACAATTGTGGCACTTGTCATCACCAGGATAGGTCCAGAGAACTCACTGGGTGCTTCTTACCCTTCACATGGTGGATGGCATGGGCAAGTGGGACCCACCATCAATGAGACCCCTTCCTCAGCACACAAGCACCAGTGGTGGCATTGCCTAAAGTTCCTGCACCTCTTGGGAGCACCGAACCCACTGTCCCTGTGCAAGGGGACCTGAACTGGCTGGTGCCTGCTCAGGGAACACTGCCATCTTTCTGTGTCCCAGCATTACCACTCATCTCATGCTGGTCCTTCCTGAGTTAGGCATACCTGGTGGATTCTTCATGGTGCAAAAGAGATGGGACAATTTTCAGTGTCCCTGGATTGGGCTGTTCCCAAAGTCTGGGGGGGGCTTCAGAGTGACACAAAACACAAAGACCTTGAGTGAGAAGTGATTAGAAAATGTGAGGAATAGAAAAAAGCAGTGGATGTTTCCCATCTAGGGACTCAGTGTTCATGCAGCCATGAGGCTGGAGAATGAAGAGGAGTGTGACTGAGGGAACAGTTTCCCCCCAGTTCACTGCCCCCTGTGCCAGTCAAGACTCACTCCCCCCTCCACCTTTGAGCATTTCAACTCTCCACTGGTGAGAAAAGAGAGCATTCTTACCTGCCCGCTGCCCTCCAAAGCATGATCCAGGCACACCTGAGCCCTGGACACCATTACAGCTGCACACATGGACAGCACAACCATGCCCTTGACTGCCACAGGAGCTGTTAACCCCAAATTTACGCAGGCTAGTGGCTTTAGGGTGCAAGGTGTGGGATGAGGGATGAG